ACCACCCTGGATTTTTCTTGTGAGGCCAGGGCTTTGGAGGATGACCCACCCCCTGGGGCCTGACATGGAGATTCTTGGGGTTGGGGAGGAGCTGACTTGGGGGCCTTGGCCCCATTGGACCCTGCCTGGGTTTTCCGACCCTCCAAACAGGGCTTACTGTTACAAAGAGTGGATTTTTCCATTACCCCCCCCCCCCTCTGCCATACGAGTTGGATTTAGGTTCGGCTTCTCCCTGGGTTTGGTTCCGTGTCCCTGCTGGTCCTTCGGTCCCGTCCTTCCGGAGGTTTTTGGCTTCCCGCGTCTCGCCTTTTTAGTGAGTATAATTGAACAGACTTGTTGCTAGTCAAGAAAGTAAATGAGATATATGTCAGGTTTTGTGAAATATATGATAAAGGCACAAAAAAATTTATACCAAAGCAGAGATGCAGAACCAGGAAACAAGATAGGTTCAATAGAAATAGCGAGAGGGCCAGAGACAAAAAGTCACAAAAATGGAATCAATATAGGAAGAGGCCAAACCCCCAAACATATCAGCAATACAAAGATGCGAGAAACAACTACACAGCAGTGAGGAGAGAGGCAGAAAGAAATTTTGAAAAGGGATTGCGGACAAATGTAAAACAGAACCAGGTCTATTCTATAAATTCTTAAACAATAAAATGCAGGTAAAAGATAATATTCAGAGGTTGAAAATGGGAAACAGATTCACGGAAAATTAAAAATAAATGTGTGAAACATTAAACGAAAAGTTCCAAAGTGTGTTTGTGCAAAATGAAATTTCAGGCAACCAGACACAATACAAATTCCAGAGAAAAACATAAGAGCACATTGAGGTGTCTAGAGACGAAGTGGAAAAAATGCTCAAGGAACTAAGTAAGAACAAAGCAGTTGGTCCAGATGGAGTTTCACCATGGGTTCTGAGAGAATGTGCATCTGAGCTCATCATTCCACTTCAACAAATTTTTCAGGCATCCCTGTGTACAGGAGTCATAGTAGATGTCTGGTAAAAGGCTAACATAGTTCCAATCTACAAAAGTGGCAGCAGGGAAGACCCCCTCAATTATAGACCTGTATCATTGATAAGTGTAAGAGTTAAAATATTGGAAAAAATAATTAAAAATTAATGGGTAGAACATCTGGAGAAAAACTATATAATATCAGACAAACAGTATGGTTTTCGATCTGGAAAATCCTGTGTAATAAATTTACTCAGTTTCTATGATTGAGCCACAGAGATTTTACAGGAAAGAGATGGTTGGGTTGACTGCATATGTCTAACCTAAAAAAAGGCTTTCGATAGAGTTCCACATAAGAGGTTGTTCTGGAAACTGGAACATATAGGAGGGGGTAAGCTTCTAACATGGCTGAAAAATTTCTAACTGATAGAAAATTGAGGGCAGTAATGAGAGGCACTGTATCGGACTGGAGGAATGTCTCAAGTAGAGTACCACAGGGTTCAGTTCTTGCACCGGTAATGTTCATTGTCTACATAAATGATCTACCAGATGGAATACAGAATTATATGAACATGTTTGCTGATGATGCTAAGATAATAGGAAAGATAAGAAACTTAGATGATTGTCATGCCCTCCAAGAAGACCTGGACCAAATAAGTATATGGAGCACCACTTGGCAAATGGAATTTAATGTGAATAAATGCCATGTTATGGAATGTGGAATAGGAGAACATAGACCCCACACAACCTATAAATTATGTGAGAAATCTTTATTGAATTCTGATAAAGAAAGAGATCTAGGGGTGGTTCTTGATAAAAAAAACTATCACCTGAGGACCACATTAAGAAAATTGTGCGAGGATCCTATGCTACACATTTCTAACTTCAGAATTGCTTTTAAATACATGGATGGAGAAATACTAAAGAAATTGTTCACGACTTTTGTTAGATCAAAGCTGAAATATGCAGCGGTTGTATGGTGCCCATATCTTAAGAAGCACATCAACAAACTGGAAAAGGTGCAACGACATGCCACTAAGTGGCTCCCAGAACTGAAGGATAAGAGCTACGAGGAGAGATTAGAGGCATTAAATATGCAAAAACTAGAAGATAGAAGAAAAAGAGGTGATATGATCATTACGTACAAAATAGTACAAGGAATCGATAAAATAAGAACAAGAGGTCATAGATTTAAACTAACGAAACAAAGCTGCCGGAGAAATATAGGAAAATTCACTTTTGTAAACAGAGTGGTAGATGGTTGGAATAAGTTAGGTGAGAAGGTGGTGGAGGCCAAAACCGTCGGCAATTTCAAAGCGTTATATGACAGAGAGTGCTGGGAAGACAGGACACCATGTGTAGCTCTCATCCTGTAACTACACTTAGGTAATCACTTAACTACAGTATCTTTGATCTCACTCCATCTATGTTGGTGTATGCAATTTTCAGGAACATGTTCCCCCTCTCCTTATTCATTACTACCCCTTTCTCTAGTGATTTTGTATGTTTGCCTTTTTGTACCATTTTACTAGTCTGCCTACCCCCTATCACTTTGTAGAAAAAATAATTGATTTCTTCATTCCTGCTCTCATTTAGATGTTTTGCCTTGGTTCAGTTTTAGCTTCTCTGTCTTCTTTTGAAAGATCTTGTCTTAACACTTTCGCGCATCCGAGAAGACCGTGGTTGTCACCAATATTATTAATCACACCGCGGGCGTGACCCTCTCGGGAGTCACGAGAAAAAATATTTGTATAAAATCCATTTATTATCCGATCAACTTGGGAATAGTTTACAAATGTTTGCCATGAAATTTACGTTTTTTCTAATAGCCGAACAGCTTATTAAAGAGAACGGCGTGGCAGTGAATCATCGTGGTAAAACAATTGTATTATTGACACGACGAGTATAATCGACGTAGTTTTTATATATGTTGCCGGTCGAACGCATCCTTATGTGACCATTAATACTTATGTTCTTATAGAACATTCTATTGCGAACACATTGGTACAAAAATGAAATACATACATCGAAAAATAATGTCAGGACAGTGAATTGAATATACACTTTTCAAAGCGAGTTTCGCCGATATGCCGCCGCGGGTAACACTTCGGCCACTTCCCACACTGTTTTGCGTGGGCTACGACATTGAATCTATATTTATAAGCATATGTCCGTGTAGAGAATTTTATTGCGATTCCAATGATACCACAATTAGCAATGTAGGACAACTGTAGGCTTCGCAACCATTAAGAGAGTGGAAACATTTTGTTGCTGTTTGGCGCTCTCGGCGAGTGATCTGAATAGTTTTTTATTTGGTGTTGATAGTCCTTATGCTTTGGCGGCATTTTATAGGTATGTTCTTATAGACAATTTTATTGCGAACACAGTGATACCAAATTTAAATACGTGCGCCTTCAATTATTGTTAGGACAGTCAAAAGAGTGTACACTTTTTCGGTCTTACCGCGTAGGCGCGCGAACCGCCGAAAGCACATAGGGTATGATTTTTTTCTGAACGCCGAGAGCGCGAAAGTGTTAATCCTTGGTTTGCAAAGGGCAATTTGGCCTTTGTCACCCACAGGCACATAACAAAAAAAAAAAATCTTAACCCCTCAACTGCACGGTTTCTAAATATGGCCCCCCCCCCCAGTGTGCAGGAAATAAATTCTCAGGAAATTTTTTTTTGTGTTTTTGAAAGTGTCGAAATCCCTTTCCTGAGTATGGATGTTAACAAAATGTCGAAATTGTACTTTGACTGCTACACTTTTCCTCTCCTGGGGAGGGGAAAGCTGCGCAGACATGCGGCGCGGCTCATGTGTCGTCATGCTCGTTTGCTCATTTTCATTTGGGGAGTTCTGTCCACTCCTTTGCCTATTTTCATCATTTCCACCAGAATAGGGGTTTGTTCTGGGGTGCTTACCACTTTGAGTGCCTGTCCTGATCGATGGCAGATACAGAATGCTCCACAATCACGTGTGCATTTCCATAGGCCTTTGCTACTTGTGCCTCTCTGAGGGGGTCCAGGTTTTGACTCGTGGTCCCTGGTAGGCCTAGAACTCCACCCACATCGACTGATGCCAAAGTTAGGAATACAGTATCCTTATCATCCTGGATAGCTCTGGGGGGAGCCTCTCAGGAGCCTCCGGGACTCAGCCAGAAAATGGCTTTTCATTACATTCAACACTGGTTTTTGGGTGCCGTCTCTTGGTGGTGGCAACATGAATAAATTTACATATAAAAATTGTCATAGTGCCACTCAAATTCAGAATTCAAATGTTTATTTAGGTAAAGTACATACATACAAGGGGTGATACAAATATTGATGAAATTATAGATAGAGCTAGTACATACAATGCCTAAAGCCACTATTACGCAAAGCGTTTTGGGCAGGAAAAACACTTAAGACTAAAACTTAATACTAATTGAGATTAAAGTATACAATGTGTTAAGAAAAAAAAGGGGGGGGCGGAACATGGCAGAAAAACAGCAAAAATACAATTTGGTCGACAAACAGCATTGTTTAAAAATATGACATTATAGGGGGTAATGTAGGTTAGAACTGCTCCCTGTGCCTTGGAAGGGGGCCAGGTTCTGGCTCGTGGTCCCCATTAGATCAATGAGAACTCCATGACTGATTGCACATTATAAACTGGCACTATATCAGTATAGTAGCTGCACCGGGGCTCGGTCATAAAATGGCATTTCATTATGTTCTGGTTAATATAGACTTGAAGGAAGATGGATTTGTACTTACGTAATGTACTTCAGGGTTATTTATGAAAATATTTCATAACTCTACACACTTGGTAAGGTGAGCAACAAAACTTCATTTATATGCATTAGTGGATGTAGGCTTTTTTAGGGGGGAGGGGGAGGGGTAGCCTGGAGACTTGCAGGATGAATTGAATCCCTTATGGAACGAATCGGCCTTGCCCTGTATAGTTTTTTCAAGTGAGGACACTGTATAACAAATATTCTTAATTGATATTCATTTTATCTTGTTGATAGCCTATTCTTTACTGCACTGTGTATCTATTTTCAACAGAGTATCGTGCTTTTCTGTCTGCTGCTTACCGTTGTGATGAAGTGTGGAACCAACGTCTGCAACATCCTCTTATCACTTGCATAAATGTCGGTAAGTTCTTTTATGTTTTAATTGATTTACAAAATTTAAAATGTATTTTTTTTTAATGTAATGACCGTAACTTAATTGAATCAGCTTAAAATTGACAAAGTTAAGTAGTTAGCAGCACACTTTCATATTCCAGTGGCAAGCATGGGTTATCAATTAATTTTACCCTTTAACTGGTCTAGTCGTCCTGAAGTAATTGGCTAGTAAAAGCAATTTGGGCCACCCTGTAAAATTTTCTTGTCTCGCTAATTCTATGGGGACATAGTTGACACTAGAGATCTCTGTTGGAAACAGCCTTGAGAGGTTTGGTTTCCTTCCTGGGCTTTGGTAAAGTGATGCACATCTGTCTGGCATGTCACCATCCAATAGCTGAATGTGTAGTGCGACCATGCTAGGAACCGTTGACACAATGAAAACGGTATCAGGAAGATTTTAATGACAGGAATATATGGCAATTAGTAGTTAGCTTTAATAATATCCATCAGAATATGAAATAAATTACCTAAATTTACCTGGGGGCCGCTATTTCTAGTGGCCCCCACTGAGGCCACTATTTCTAGTGGCCTCAGTGAGGACCAGCAGCCAGTGGCTTGTCAGAGGCCCCCCCCTTCCCTTGATTCTGTTACTGTGTCAAGAATATTACTATGCAAACAATTGCAAGAATTAATACTTTAGTTCTTACTGATGTGAATTTATTTATTGCAAAGTGTATCACTTTAATATTAGTTAACCCTTAAACCGCACAATATATATATAGATGATTTCAGTGACAAAACCGAAACCGCGCAATACATTAATAGCTGTTTTAGTGTCTAGAGCCTTAATTTAAACGCCCCGCATGGGATTGGGGCAGCTATAGTTTAGCCACGACCGATAGTTGCCAGACGCCACCTAGAAAAAAAATCGTGGCCAACATTCCTGGGTGTGAGAGCTTCAGTATTGAGCAAGCCACTAAGGCCGATGCACGCACCATGTGCGCACAGCACCGCTGTTCAGCTTGTGACCGCAGCATCGTCTAAAAAGTCAAAATATATATGTTCATGCTATTATTTAGTGATGATAGTATTACAGATGACCCCTGACTGTGATAAAACTGACCAGGATTCTGATAATAGCAGGATTGTGGTGATATTTAGCGCTGTGCTCCATGGAGGGAGGAGTAAGGCTGTGGGATGGAGGGTGGTGGCGTGGTCTTCTGACGTTGTGTGGCCACCTTTTATTGACTGCACTTGCCATACCAGCTTAGTGGTTTGCTATGGTGAACACAAATGTAGATTCCTATATATATAATGTGTGTATAGAGTGTAGTAACAGCAATAGGAGTAGGTTGGGAGCCGCCATTTTGGTGAGGGAGGTGCGTCGTCTGCACGACTTGTCATGTTGTTTACTGGTGGCCACTATGGTCTTTGGGTACCATACCAGCTTATTTGTACAGGTATGGTGAATAAAACAGGTAGATACTTATATATAATGTGTGTATATAGTGTAATAACACCACAAACAGTATTGTTGGAGGAGAAATATTAGTGCATCTGGCCTTGAGGGCGGCCGCTACCAGCTGACTGTGTGAGTAGCTACGTCTTACTGCCTTTACTCACCATACAAGCTTAGATGTGCAGTTATGGTGAACAAAACATGTAAATCCTTATATGTAATGTCTGTGTATAGTGAGTAAATGTAAAAACAGTATTGTGGGAGGAGAATGAGGATGAGTGAGGTGTTGTTGAGGGAGGGAGTGGCAGCGAGTGGCTGGCTGTGTGTGGCAGTCACTCCTCGTTGCATTTTGACTCACAATACCAACTTAGTGGTTCGTTATGGTGAACAAAACATGCAGATATTTATATATAAACTCATTTGCTGCTGTGTTGGCTTGCTGTTCCTGTTGAAGGGCTAGGAGTTCTTCGGTGGTCAGTTCTTCGTTGTGTTCTTCCACCAACTCCTCCACATCATCACCATCCAATTCCAAGCCCATTTGCTGGCCTAGACTAACAATTTCCTCAACAATAGGCGCATCATTTATAGGCTCAAACCCCTCAAAGTCTAGTTCTCTCACACCTTCAGGCCACAATTTTCTCCAGCCAGAGATCAGGGTTCTTTGAGTCACTTCTTGCCAGGCTTTGTCAACGAGTTTTAAAGCACTACAAATGTTAAAATGCTCTCTCCAGAACTCTTTGAGGGTGAGGTTTGTGGCTTCAGTCACTTCAAAACATTTCCGGAAAAGTGCCCTTTCATACAGTTTCTTAAAATTCGCTATGATTTTCTGGTCCATAGGCTGAATTAGAGGAGTGGTGTTAGGAGGAAGGAATTTAACTGTGAGGAATTTATTGTATTGAGGCATCAAATCATCTTCCAAGCCTGGAGGATGAGCAGGAGCATTGTCAAGGAGAAGCACGGCTTTGAGTGGCAATTGTTTCTCCTGCAGATATTTTTCTATGGCAGGGCACAGCACTTCATTCACCCACTCCGAAAAAATAAGCCTAGTGACCCATGCTTTTTTATTAGACTTCCACATCACACACAAACGGGTTTTCTGCACATTATACTGTTTGAAAACCCTTGGATTTTCAGAATGATACACTAGCAAGGGTTTAATTTTCAAATCGCCACTCGCATTTGAACACAGCACAAGCATAAACCTATCTTTCATAGGCTTGTGTCCAGGCAAGGATTTTTCCTCCTTGGTAATGTATGTCCTCTTAGGCATTCTTTTCCAAAACAGTCCTGTTTCGTCACAATTAAACACTTGTTGCGGTAGGTATCCCTCAGCCTGTGCAAACTCTTTAAATTCGTCAATAAATCGTCCAGCGGCTGGTTTGTCTGAGCTGGCTGCCTCCCCATGCCTTGTAACACTGTGTATATAGTGTAATAACAGCAAAACTATTTGTTTAATAGTTTTGCTGTTATTAGCAAATCAAATATATAAAAGATTTGATTATATATATAATAATATATATGATTATAATACAGTAATATCTTGGCTTACGGATGTCCCTCTACGAACTTTTCAGGTTATGAGCCCAATATCTTCATAAAATCTGAATCGGGTTACGAACTTTGTCTTGGGTAACGTAGTTTGTTAATATGCGTATGGCCGACCTGGTGCATGGTGGCATGGCAACCGCACTTCAGTTTACCAGTGCCTCCTGCCTAGTGACAGTCGCCCCTGAACTCTTGGGTATTTGAACATAAAAGTAATTATTATATATCTTGCCATGGGTCCCAAGAAAGTCTGTGGTAAGGTTCAACCTAAGAAAATAGCTGCGAGTAGAGGCATTAGAGGATGTCCCTTCCTCATTACGAAAATGTGTGAAGTATGGGAAGAATTGCAAAGTTTTGTTGAAAAAACTCGCCCAGATAAAGCTGTAGCAGGCCATTGTATTGACCTTTTAAATGACAATGTGATGTCTCACTACAAACATGTGTTAAAATGTTGGGAAAAACAAGTGTCTTTAGACAGATTCTTAGTATGACAAGCAAGCAGTGAGCCACAACCAGGTCCTAGTGGTACTCCTGGAAAACGTAGGAGTGTACCCCAGAGAAGCCATCACTGCCTGATGTTATAATGGAAGGGGACTCCCCTTTCAATCACTAACACTTCTCCCCCCCTCCCCCCCCTCCTCCTCACTATCTTCCATATGTCAACAAGTCATCAATAAAGGTAAGCAATAACTTGTACATACTTTACTACTAAAGATTTGGGTGACTTTGGTATCAAATTTACTTTGAAGTTAATATTTTTGGGAGTGTGGAATGGATTAATTCAATTTACATTATTTCTTATGGGAAAATTTGTTTCGGTTTACGAAGTTTCGGGTTATGAACCGTCTCTGTGAACGGATTAAATTCATAAGCTGAGGTACCACTATACTGTATTATTATGAATATGTATGTGAGTGTCTGTATATCTATACTCGTATATCCATACATACTTACATTTTCAAAGATATACATAATAGACAGTACCTATGACACACAAATACAACCTGTTAGCATGAAAAATACTAAATAAATAAAGTGAGAAACAATTAAAATAAATTAACAGTTATTCCTATGTGTCGCCTCAACTCATTTTAACGGGGACGTTCTTTATGGAAGCTTAAAGTTGTTCAATGTCAACCATTATTTTTTGACTAGTTGTATATGAAAAGGGCTGCAATTGTTCTAAGTTTCAGTACTGTAGCCTAAATAGTAAGGGATATTTTTATTTTTTTATATTTTTTTCAACGAATTTTACACATTTTCAAGTGTAAGTTTACAATCACACCTTTCAGATATAATCATTTTATGACACTTTTCTGACACATTAGCATATAATAAAGGGTCTCTGGGATTGGATTTCCCTAAACGTCTTTAGTTTTCCTAATACAAATAGTCAAAGTTCCCCCCAAAATTATGCAAATATATCATGTTTATTGCTATTTATAAAATCCATAAATGAACTCAGGAAAAAACGCTTACTTAAGATTTTAGAGACATAAACTTTACATATAAGGTGTAAGTTTCATGTAAATGGAATAAAAAATGAAAGAGATATTTATTTCAAGTAATATAAATGTTCAAGTAAGTAAAATATAAAGTCTAAGGTGTTGCCATCTGTGGCTGAGGTTGACATCAACCAGTTTCCTCCAAAATTGGCACCCTTACAGATAGGCTTACATGCAGTCGAGTGTATAAGTTGCATGCAAATCGCCCTATAAACAAAAGAGAGAAAATTTAATAAAAACAAACAAACTAAATTTGCCTTTTTTTTTTTAACAAATTTTTTTTTTTACTAAAACTAATTATAATTTGTTTTTAATATCAGCTATCACAATAGCATAGTCATAGACATGATTTCAGTTGACATTTTTGTTTGATAATCGTTTTTGATCATTTCTTTGGACAATTTTTGACACATAATTCAATATTTTTTTCTCCCTTCCTATTTATGCTACGATGCTGAGACTTGGACCAGATGAAACCCTTATCATATACAGTACAACTTGTCAAAAAAGTGTGATTGA